ATGATTTGGGGATTGATTCAGGGAACCACGATTTGGAGCAAATGATAGGCATTCGACTGACTAATCATTCAGATTCCGTTCACATTATATATCTTAGATGATTCTCAAACAGTTAAATTTTGATTTAGTTTTTTTTAATTTCTCATTAATCCATAAACAATAAATCATAGTCTGTTAATAAAAAATAAATAAATTACTTTATGTCTTGGTAAAATAGTTGCTCGTTCCATTAATTTAATTGCTTCATCAGGTTTTTCATGCTCTAATTCCATTTCACACCAAGCACACCAAACAGCTGCTAAATCATCAACATTTCGAAAATTAACTTTAATTGCTTTATCATAAATATATCGAGCTTCATCTGGTTGTTGATATTTATCATAAAATTGTGCAAATGCAATCCATAAATCTTGTAATTTTCCTGTACAAATTTTTGGATCAATTGTTTGTACAGCTTTTGTAAATGTTTGAATTATTTTATCATATTGTTCACCATATAATTTAATACGTTTTAACCATTCATTAACATTATGTGGATTTTGTCGAAGTAAAACACTATTTAACATTAATGGACGACGATCCATTAAATATTCTAAACGTGCAAGACGAAGTTCAAGTTCAAGATCATCTAATAAAATACAAACATAAAAAAACAATGTTAAATTGTTATTTTTTATTTTTGTTTTACCATCTTCAGTTATTTCTTCATCATCTTCATTTGATTTATTCATTAAAGCACTAATAAGACCTTCTTCAGATTGTGCATATGCATCAAATACTTGTGTAAAATCACGAACAGTAAGAACAGATTCAACCGCTTCTTCAAATATATCACGAGCCTAAAACAAACAAACAAAAAAACAATTCTTTTTTTCTAATCAAAATTTAAACAAAAAAAGAAAGATGTTTTTTTTTAAATACTTTTTCAAAACAACCGCTACGTATATAATAATCAGCAAGTGATGTCCATAATTGTCCAACTTGATCTTTATATTTTAATATTCCTTGTCGAAGAATTGGTTCAACTTGAACAGATTTTATTTTTGTTGGATTTTTTGATACTAATTCACATAATTCATTCCATAACTTAAAAAAATAATCAAAAATAAAAGAAAAAGAAAATTCTTAAATAAAAAGAGAAATTTTTACTTGATGATTTGATTTTCCTTGACGTGAAGTAAAATTATCACGATTTAATATATCAACATATAATTTTGCACATTCATCTAAATGTCCGATTTCTTTTAAATAATCAATATATTCTTCAGCACATTCAGGTTGTAACTAAATTAAAATTGAATAATTTAAGTTGGTTTTTCTTGTTAACGGCATGGTCAAGCGTTACAGAATTTCATAAAACTGAAATTGTTTTTTTTGGCGGAGCTGAAATTTTAGCATTTTACTTTGAAACGAAGCGATATATAAATAAACTTTCTATGTAAAAGTTTTTCAGTTTTTAACAAGCTTTTAGAATATCAGATCATTGCTTAACTCCTATATGATAGAATTTCTTTTGAGTAAAATGAGATTTTTTTTGCATAACCCGCAGGAAACTACAGACATAGAAAAATCGATTAAGAAATATTATGAAACGAACTCTTATGTGATTTCAACATAGAAATCCGAGATATATTGAGTGTGACAAAAGTAGCTTCTCTACGTAGCTGTTTGTTATTGCTTTTCACTATAGTGGACACTCTTATCAATTCATCACTACACAATTATTCCTGCACAAACTAAATGTTTACTTTTACGAAAAAAAATCTAATCGTCAATAAACGATATTTTTTCAACACGAATATGTAGAAAAATAGATAAAAATCTCATTAAATTTGATGAAATCCTCCTGTCATTATCTTTGCAGGTCTCGAACTTTTTCTCGCATCATTTCATAGAGAAAGTTCAATACTTTCTTGGAAAAAAAAAGTTCAGCAAAATCTGTAGATCTAAACTGTATAAAGTAATTTTTTATAACACAGCTTATACTACCAAGGTGGAATACTGAAAAAATCAATTTTGTAGAATGAAGCCGTTTTAATTGTATGATCGCACAGAGTATCTTCGAATCTATGTATGATAAAATTTTCACTCGTGTAGAACAAACTATTTTCAAGAAATCGATGTTTTTCTCAATGAGTTAAGTTAGTGGTTGGCCAACAGGATTCTGAGGATAAATGCTTGTTTCTCTACGAAAAAAGTTCTGATAGATCTGAAAGTATGGAGTTTGCAGCTCATCAGCAATTCGATTGATTCTCTCATAGAATGATTAATAAAAAAAGAAAAGATGAAGAGTAATGTTAGCTCACGAAGGCGTTCTCCAGCAAATCCAAACAGTATCACAAGAAACCATCATAAGTCAGTTGCAAGTTGATTCAAAACTATCGTGTATATATTCGTGACTCCTCCTGAAAGAGTTAACAACCATAACTGCATCGGATAACAAACTAAAACATAGTGTTCGTTACGGAACTTTATTCTTTTTTTTCGAAAATCGCAGTTTGAATTAAAATGAAAGCAAAAAAGTCAAAAGCAACATTTTCACTAGGATCCAACGAAAAAAAAACATTTTTGATCCGAGAAGAATCAAAGTCAAAATTTTAATAAACTAAATATTTCAAGTTGTTCAAACTTGGATGCTAATTCCAAAAATATTCATACTTATGGACAAAAACAACAGTGTAAAATACTTAATGATCTAAATGAAATTTCCTCAAAAGTAGAGATGGTTTTTGAGCGCATTATGTTAAAACAGTACTTCTCATTCTATCGATTAATATCTAATTGACGAGTTTTCTTTTTCTAATGATCAATGCTTGTTTAAAGATGTATTTTACTAACATGTTTTGCATAAATTTTTGAGTCGATCACTTTAAGAAAGATTTCGCATGTTCAGAGTATTTGATGCTGCTCAAAAATAGAAATGCTATCGATCGTACTTCTTTCGATGATAAATTCAGCTATATTTTACTTTTAAGTTCGAACTCTCCTCATATGTGGGTGACAGATGGTTGGCCATGCCGTTTATTATTATTATTATTATTATCATTATCTTACTTTAAGATATCTTTTATAAACACGCATTGCTGTATCAGGTATTTCAGGATAACTAGTAACAAATTTAATATATAGTGACCATATACGATTATGTTGTGTTATTGGTAATGCTCTTATAGCTCGATCAAATACACGACGTGTACGAGTTATTTTACATTGATCCATTAAACATTGACAATAATCAAGCCATATTCGAGGCATCTAAAATTAGACAAAATAGAAAAAAAAACAAAAATTTAATGAAAAATACTTTATGCATAAAAACAAGAGAACGTTCAAAAGTATTATTAACTTCTTCATAAATAGGATCAATAATACATTTTGAACGAACTTGTTTTCGTCGAAGTTTTAAATAATTAGACCATAATTTATAACTAAAATAAAAAAAATTTAAAAATAAGAAAATGAAAATATAATAATGAATATACCTTCCAGGTAATTCACGCAATGCTCGTTCATAGACAAGATTTATTTTTTCATTAGGTCCTTCTTTAATATGATCAATATATCGAAGCCAAGCTTTAACTGAATATTGATTTCGTAGACAATCTTCTTCATAAAGTATATCAGTTTCATCCTAAATAATTTACAAAAAAAAAACAAAGAAAATTATGATTAGAAAGATATTTTTTTTTGTAAAATTTATTACAAAAATTAAATTGGTTGTTGATGTTTGTACTGATGTTGATGAATCGTCTTCCGTAGTCATTATTATTTAATTTTTTTGACAATTACAAAGGATTGTGAATGAAATGATATGAGACGATGGATGAAAAATATATTTCAAAAGAAATATTTTCTTATTAGTCGTTAGTATTCAATCAATGAAAATTTTTATATCGCATGCGAATGATGGCAGTAGTAGACAGATTGAATGTAATGAATGTCAGAAAGGGGTCACTATGGGATTTGGGAAGTGTAATGATAGAAATTAGAGAGACATTATACTACTAAACAATCGTCTTATAAGTAGAAAAAAAATCTTTGCATAAAATATTCTTCTATTAAAATATGCTTATATTTTCATTTAAACTAATACAACAAAATAGAATGCCACGGATTCCACTGCATTGTATAAAATGGATAGTGAATAATAGATGTAAAAAAAAAGAGAGTAAAAAGATAAAGGTATGAAAAAGAAATCGGGATTGAGTTTAGTTATGTTCGGCAGTAAATTCCTGTCTTTATACGATCTATTCTAACAAGAAAACTGTCCGATGATTCACATCTTTTTATTCTTCACAGTAGCAAAGGTTAACAGAGATTAAAAATTTTTAGAAGTGATCAACGGAGGAAATCAATCTGAAATCTTGTTCGTAAATAGTTTTCATGGTTATAAAGATATCCTAGAAATTTTGTTTTAGAATAATCCGTTCATACTCAAAATGCTAAATGCTTGAACATTTCATGGAACACGACAAGAAGAGAGTTTTTTCAAATTTCGCAGTCTAAATAAAAAAAAAAAGAAGTAAACTCTCTCATTGAAATCTGCCGTTGCTTCGATACAAATTGAACTCTTTAATTCAAAATCATAAATTTCGAAGTGAAAGCCTATAGATTCGCAACCTTTCCTGTATTATCCAAATCACATCGCGGATCTTCTTATGACACAAAATCACAATTCGGTACAAGATTTCCTTAAAAGCTATAAAGCAAGTAAATCTGTGAACATCATAAGTACGAACATATCGAAAATAACTTTGCATTTTCTTGAAAACATAAAAACATGTTAACTGTAGATATAAGAAATTTTTATCTTTTGCTTTTTTAGCTATAATCAAAAGCAGATAGTAAAATAAGAAGAATATGTTACAACAATTGTTCTCTGTCTAGTAAACATCTATAAATGACTTTTGTGGCTTTTATTTGAACATATCATCGAATGCATACAGAAAAAAAGACTACGATCCTATATTTATAATATAAATATTAATTTTTTTGTTTTATTAATATGTGCCTTGAGCAATCATTGCTTCAGCTACTTTCTCAAATCCAGCAATATTAGCACCAGCAACAAGATCATAGCCAAGTCCATATCTTTCTGCAGCTTCTTTGGATTTTTTATGAATATTAACCATAATTTCCTTGAGGTTAGCGTCAACTTTTTCTTTTGTCCATAATAAACGTGTAGAATTTTGTGACATTTCAAGTTCTGATACAGCAACACCGCCTTTAAATAAACGAATCAAAAAAAAAAAGATACAATATTAGTTCATTATTAAATTAAATATACTAAATAAATTTATTAACCTGCATTTGCAGCTATAGCTGGTCCAAGAATAACACCATTCTTCTTGAAATATTCCATAGCATCAGGTGTTGTTGGAAAATTAGCACCTAAATATAATAAAAAAAAACTTTCAGTTTCTTTCTAAATATATTTTGTCAAAAATGACTAACCTTCAAAAACAAATTTAACACCATTACTGGCTAATACTTTAGCGTCTTCAAGGGCAATTTCATTTTCTGTTGCAGATGGAAAAGCAATATCACCTTTTAAATGCCATGGTTTTTCTTTTGGATAAAATTTAGCACCAAATTTTTTGGCATAATCTTCTAATTTAACATCATTACATGATCGAATACGTAAAAGAAAATCAATTTTTTCATCTGTAACAATTCCTTCAGGATCATGTACATAACCAGCACGACCTGATATTGAAATAACTTTTGCTCCAAGTTCACGAGCTTTAAGACAAACACCCCATGCTACATTTCCATAGCCTGATAAAATAATAACTTTGCCTTTGAATGTATCACCTTTTTCTTTGAGTACCTAAAACAAAACAAAAAGTATGAAATTAAAAAAAAGAAAAACGAGAAGTATTAATTGATTTTTCATACTTCTTCGGCGTAGTACATAGCACCAAAACCTGTAGCTTCACTACGAATATAACTACCACCATATGCTAAACCTTTGCCTGTTAAAACACCATTTTCAAAAGCACCACGAACTCGACGATATTGTCCAAAAAGATAACCAATTTCTCGACTGCCAACACCAATATCACCAGCTGGTACATCAACATCAGGTCCAATATGTCGATAAAGTTCGTTCATAAAACTTTGACAAAAACGAAGAACTTCAGCATCGGATTTACCTTGTGGATCAAAATCTGAACCACCTTTACCACCTAAAAATTAAAAAACAAAAAAATGTTTTTTTGTTTGTTTATAATTTTATACTCGTTTTCTGTTTTTTCTACTAACCTCCAATTGGTAAACCAGTTAATGAGTTTTTTAAAATTTGTTCAAAACCCAAAAATTTAATAATACCCAAATACACACTTGGATGAAAACGTAATCCACCTTTGAATGGCCCAATGGCACCATTGAATTGAACACGATAACCACGATTTACATGCATTTGACCATGATCATCTTCCCATGGTACTCGAAAGATAATAACACGTTCTGGTTCTGTAAAACGTTCGAGTAAAGCCATTTTTTCATATTCTGGATGTTTTGCAATTACAGGTCGAAGACTTCGAAGTACTTCTTCAGCAACTTCAAGAAATTCTTTTTCATCAGCATTTTTTAAACGAAGTCGTTCAATAACACGATCAACATAATCGCCTGGCATGGTGTAGTTTTTTGCGTGTATTCGATGGCGTCGAGGTAAAGAAAAATGCGTATATTCGTCCTTTAAATACTCGCTCTGAAACAAGACAACGTGTGACAAACCTTGTACTAGATAACAAATTTGATGATAAGGCCAAAAAAGTCAACGCGTTATACACAGAACCACGCCATACATTATTGACATAACGTCTTAGATCATACATTGTATGCGTGATAAATAAATATATTTAGTTGATATGAATGATTCATTGTATCAGTTTCTCAAATGGGCCTATTAATGCACTTTTTCAGATCATTTTAAAACTCGCTAAATTAAAAAGATAATTGCACAGAAAAATTTAGCAAAATTTACAACATTGTTATATTATATTTTCATTGTGGTCAGTGTTTTTTTTCGATTTTATTTTCTTAGTATTGTTTTACTAACGACATCATGAATATTATTAGTTCCATTTATTTTGCTAATGCTAAACAATTAAGCAATAATAACTAACGGATCGAATTACTAAGCAAAATGTATACGAACAATATCATTAAATTCTATTCAATTAAATCGTTCGACGTTTATTTATATAATAAATATGATAGAAACCAAATAACGTTATTCAATATTTTAAATTCTGTACTGTTGATACATAACACGAGGTATGTTCAGATTTCCGAAAAAGGAAATTACAGAAATTTCCGAAGCTTCCATCAACTCGATAACTACATAACAAAGCAAATGGAAAGTTTTTGGAAATATTGGAAATTTCAGAAATTACATAATTTTGGAAACTACCAAACAATTTAGAACACAAGTGTTTAAAATTTCCGAAACTTCCGAAATTTCCTTTTTCGGAAGTCTGACCACTGCTGGATTTTCTTGTCGTTCAATCATGTTCAAGCCACAAGACTGACAGTATAGTCTCAGATTAATTATGAATTATTCTCGTTTCAGTAAATCTTTACACGCTATGATATTACTGTATTTCACTTCAACGACATTGAAGTTATCTTGTAATTCATACCATATGATGTTACTACTAGTGCATGGAAAATTTTGTTATATATTAAAAGGTTTTATAAAAGTTCAGCTGATTGTACAACAACAACAACATAAACTCAATGTGATATTTAATGAATAGATTAGTGAAGAGAACAATTAAAACAAGAAATTTAAATTTTAGCATATGGTTTTTAGCGATTTAATAGATTGATTAATTAACATCTACTTAGCTATTCGATCGACTGATGATTTTCATACTCGTAATGCATCCTTAACACATATCATACGTCAAAATTGATAATTGTACAGGATTCAGCTATTTCCACAGTGTTTCTATACCAACTCGTCGTCATGCAAAAAAGAAATATAATCTAGTGGCATCTATTCATTTTCTAGAACAGGTCAACATAATATTGAACAGGAATTATTCTTCATATTACGCTAATTCTGAATATATATAAATCTTAATATATAGCTAGTTTTAAAAAAAAACGTCCTTCAGATAGTGCATTTAGAAGAAGTAACTACCAAAAGATAAACACAGTTATTTCATCAATAGCTATACATTATAGTTAGAGAGCAAAAAACGACGAGCACGCCGTTACCCATACAGAACAAGCTTCGTGTACTTTGGTCGCTGCATTCTAAAAAAGGAGTACCCGTATAATTGTTGATCCACCACCTGTCTCTCGTAACCTTGATATCTCTAGAAAAAAAAAACTTAAGAAAGATCAACATGACCTAATAGAGAATATTCTACAAGAAATTAATAATAAAATTTTCTTAACTTTAATATAATTTATCTTATATATTTAATATCTTTTTTTCTTTCATCAAAATAATTATGAAAGAAAGGCGATAAGATAAAAACAAGCCCTAGAACAAAAAAAACAGATAATTACGTATAATACAAAATTTATCATTCAATTTTGTAAGTCTTTTTAATATTTAATAACAAGTTGTTTTTTTAGCGAATAAACAAAATTCTTTTCAAAATTTTAGTTAAATAAATGTACATCTTGTAATCATGGTTATTAATATTCTATAGTGGTATACAAACACAGGTGCTGGTTTGTTATCACCTCACAAATTATTCTGCGTCCTCACTTTCAAGGACACCTTTTCATTTTAATCACGGCGCCCTCACTCTCATGCAGTATTGTGTGTGTGAATCACACTAATCCGTAGAAAGCTGTGATTAAAGTGAAGAGGTGCCCTTGAAAGTAAGGGTATAGGATAATTTATGGAGTGATAACAAACCAGTACTCGGACACATGATCAAAACACATTTCATGAATGTAATAGACACACTAAAATGAACAAATTTCATTGTAGAACATATATATTTCGATGATTTCCTTTGAAAGTTATTGATTATTATAAAGTTTTTATATGATCACTACTTGTTACTCTTTATAAAAGAATGTAGTTTTACCTTTATTGCTGCTCTTACTTTTATATCATATAACATTCATCTCATTGACATTTACATGTAAATTAGTGTGTATGATTTTGATATTCTAATTCAAAGAGTCTCAATGACATAGTTATATGTAACAGCAACATCGTCTAGGATAGAATCAGAACACAGTTTCAATTATCAAGTATCATTTTTCATACATATTCAGCATGCTTTACTACAGTCAACATTATTATTCTGATTTCTTTATTTTTTTGTGTGCACGTTGCTTTTTATCTGTAGGGCAACAAAGAGATAGATAGATGATGAGTACATATATTAATGTAGTCTATAATGTGTACCTCAAGGTTTTATGTAAAAATAACTTATGCTTCAATATCATAGCATGCATTATTCTAATGAAAAGAAACTGTATATGTTAGTTTAATTTGTATAAACTTGTTAATTAATATTTTAAACTGTGAATAATATTTATCGATTACTTGAAATAACATGAACAACAAATAAATGTTTTTTTATAATTAATAACCGATCGGAAACACACAAATTTATATGGTGTACCAGAGACATGCAAACTGATACGCATTGTATAATAATTCATTAAAAATAAGATGTATTGATTTATTTATACGGATTCTTTTTTAAGATTGTTTTTATTTACATAATAAAATTCAATAAAAAGAATATATTTTTTTTAAAAAGATGTCACTACTATTATTCTTTGTGCATCAGTCTTTTTTGTTTTGTTGGGCATGCAATAAAACCAATAGACTTAATATTTTATATAAATAAGATTTATCTATTTATTGTTAAATCAAAATTCTTTCAAAAACTCAGGGTTATTTATTATGTATCTTCGATATGTTTCTTTGAATCTAAAATCAATTGTTTTTCCTCGTTTACAAGTAAAAATTCTTTGTATATTTATTTATTGTAAGATTATTTCTTCTATAGATCGTTAATAAATTTATCTCTCGTACATTATCAAATCAGTCTAAAACTAAAATCGATTTATCTCAACTAATAAAATCCGCGAATGAAAATAATAATGATGAAATTGATATGAATGAAACAAAAGCTGAACAAAAAGCGCCTGAAAAAATTGAATCAAATCGATTATCATTTGTTGAAAAATTTCTTAAAAATGTTTTCTCATATCAAATCAATTCAATTGCAATTCTTGTAATTTATATTTGATCTTTTTTTTCTTATTCAAAAAAAACACAAGGAATAAAACATTTACTAATATTAGATTGTTGCTGGTATTGGTTATGTCATGTATGAGCAAGTTAAAAATGATTATGAAATAAAATCTACATTCCGACATGGTTCATGTCCTAATTTTAAATTTAAAGAAGAACAATTACTTGAAAGAAAATCATTATTAAATTCTCTTATAACTATTCTTACACCTGTTGCTGATAAACTTGTTTCATCATATTATATTGTACTTGGTGAACATGGAGTTGGGTTAGATATTTAATAATTATAGAAAGAATAAATGAAAAAAATTTTCTTTTTCTTTTAATTGTAGAAAATCTACATTAATTCGACAAGCAGCACGAGAAGTTGGTCGAGGTGTTATTTATGTCTATGGTTGATTATTATGATTATTATTATTATTATAAATGTATATAAACTTGTTTATTCCTTTCTAGTTCCATCTAATGTCGAGAAATTTGGTACGGCTTTTGCTCGTGCGATAAATTTTGATTTTAAAGAACATATTCGTCTATCGACATGGATCGAATCGACAATGTTTGGTGCGCCACCTGATGATGGTAAGGATCCATTTCAAACTATTGATCTTGTTTATTTTTATTTTGTCTTTTTTTACCAAATGAATAATACTCTTGGATATTGATATTCCTTCAATTAGAGGTGTACAGGGTAGGGTAAGGTAAGAGTACAAGAATGAGAGAGCCATGATACATAAATTAAAATCGTATTGTTAAGTTAAAACTAATGAATTACTCTGTAAAAAACAAACAAACGTGTCATACTAAACCTTTTAACCCTTTGAGTCCCATAATAGCAAAAAAGCTACACATGTTTTATAAGTATTTTTCACAATATAATTTATAAAAATTAGTATGTGACCTACTGGAATGAAGCAATAACGAATATTATAGGGTGTGAATGTGGTGAGTGTCGGGTATGTTGGTACGGGTGTGAGTGAGAAGACCGAAGTGAGGATATGAATGTGGGTATGGAAACCGAAATAGGGTTGTGAATGTAGTTGAGAGACTTCTATTAAACAATACTCACATCTATTTTCAGATCACCTATCAACATATCCTAATCTAACGGTTTGCTTCAATTCAATCCAGTAGAAATAATTTGGAAATCAAAGGGTTAAATATTAAAAAGTTCAGCATCTTCGCTAAAACCTTCAATAATTCCTTATGACACCTTTTTTTAAGAAAATAGGATAAGGATGTAGGCTCTATAGGATAGAGTAGAGTAAGGGTATGAAAAATTTTCTCAGATAGGGTACAGAGTACGAGAAAAAGTTCACCCTGCACGCTTCTACCTTTAATTTGTTTTTTCTACTTAGTGATAAAGTTTTGTTGATGATTAATTATTTTTTTTTATTCTAGGAAAAGAAGAAAGTTGGGAACGTGTATTAATAATATTTGAAAAATATGCAATTGATTTTAAAAAAAAATATGGTTGTGTACCTGTATTAATCTTTGATAATTGTGATATGCTTGCAGAAAAAAATCCAGAAATGCTTGAAATATTACAAGATACAGCTAAAACTGCTATTGATGATTCATCATGGATTACTGTATTTATTATGTCAGTTGGAGTTCCATTTGAACAGATGGAAGGTTAGTAAAATAGTTTCAAAAAATTTTTTAACGCAAAAATCAGTTCATGAATATAAACTGACAACGTTAAACTTGACTAATTCAATTTTACTTATATTTATATTCTTGCGTTTCTCGAAAAATATATTCCTTCTTCAGTTCTATTATTGAGTGATTTTCCAAAAGTACGATGAATAATGGTAGAGTTCAGTAATTGACTAGCAGAACGTTGGATAATAATGAGGATCACGTTCAAAGCAAAGAAGATAAGACTATCTCTCTCTCATCTTTCACGTTCATTATTTTCTAGATATGTAACATGATTCTTACATTTTGATAATGAAGACCATAAGATATGAGTAAGGATTACGAAATTTAAAAAACAACACGCACTTATTTACTCTAAAGGGACTTAAATTTTAGTTCTTTATTACGAAAAGACGTGATATAGAAATAAACAATCTTTACTAAGAATGTGCAACGTTGGTGTAAATACTGATAGTGAGTCAGAATGGTGCCAGTTTATCAGTATATCCATGTAATTAGTGTGCACTAACTTTACTGAGTCGGTGGCCAGTAAACTGAAACTACACATCTTTAAACTTTACAAACATTGCGCGATTTTGAACAAGCTATTAGAATACCAAATCATTTTTAAGAAAAGTTATTGTCTTTAACAGAATTCGAAAAATACCGATCGTTACGGCTGCGCTTTTTAGATACTCATCAACAGAGAGATGGGACTTGTCAACTGAGTATCTCAGACTTTGTGATATCTTTCATACGCTGTTGAATAATGTAATTTCGATTTCAATGTCAGTTTTCTTTACTTTGATGAGTTCAAACTTGCTTCAGGTAAGGTTGATCGATGATTGGTTATACCGCACGGGTATTAAAACAAATGCGATTGTTTTAGAATTGTGTTTGAAATACGGATAGAAAACATTTTTGGAGAATAAATAATAATTTTTAAAATTAAATATATATTTTTTTCTTTTCTTCAAAGGTCGAAGTAGTATCACACGAGCATCATCATTTCTTGAAATATCTGATCTCTCAGAAGAAGAATCAATGACTTATTTGATAGAAAAAAGAAATCTCTCTCAAGAAATGGCCAAAGATCTTTACAATCTATTTGGAGGACGTATAAAAAGTTTACAAAGTGCAGCATCAAAACTAGAAAGTGGTGTATCCTTTCGTAGTAAGTTACATCAAGACCTTTTGAAATGAAAACAAAAAAGAAACAAATACAACTTTCTGAATTTCTTTTAGCTATACGTAAATCAATTTTACAAGATATAGCACGTCGAATTGAAAAGATTAGATGTCGAGTAACTATTCAAGAACAAACATTCTTGTTTAATGTTCTTTGTATTTTATTATATCAACCTGAAATAACAATTGATGAATTAATTGAAATTGAAAAAGATGTTACTGTAAGACAAAAAATTTTAAATGAACTTCGTGATGAAACAATTCTTATAAGATCTGTTTCAACAGGTTCATATATATATCATAGCCAAAGTATAAGAGTATGCGTTGAAGAATATTATAAAGATAAATGTTGATATTATAAAAGAGGAAAAGCATGAAATTGTTAAACACGCAGTTTTTTTGTTTGTATTTTTGAGTATTAATTTTTTTAGTACTGTTTTAATATTTTCTTTTGTGTATCTATGTTAGATACTTTGAGTAAAAAAGAAATCAAGTCAAATGATAGTCAAGCCAAAAATTGTATATTTATCTTCTTCCTCTTCTTTTGATTTTGAAGAAACATACAATTAGTGCTACGATTTATTATATAGAATATTTATTATTAACATCTGTTGCCATTTTTAAATTTGAGATAAATCAAGCTGACAAGAAGAATAGATTATATTACTTGTCAAACATAATTAAAACACAAGTTGATTTTTTTTCCTACATATAACAAAAAATGATGAGTATATAATTATCTAGTTTTGACTTTAAAAAAACTGTACAATCGAAGTCAATTAAATAATAATATCATTCGGCTTCTTCTGGATGAAACATTATGTTTTTTTTTCTTTGACCTTTTATTATTTGATTTCCATTCTTTACCCATTTCCAATCCATTTGATATGATTTATTGTAAAGAGAAAAACGAAACTCGACGTCGAAACAGAGAATGATAAAATTGAACTGGTAAATAAATATATATAGTGTAAAGAAAACATAATAAACAAACACGCACACACATATACATTAAACGTAGTGTTGTGTTCGTTCTAATCTAGTCGATTAAAAAAAAAACAGCTAGTAAAATTCTAATATAAAGAAAATCAAAAAATTTTCTTTGATATATTGTTCATTGGAAAATGATATCAACAGAAGCACAAACAAAAAATCAATCTCAACAATCAACAACATACGATGAACGTGTGTTTAATGAACGTATTCGTCAATTATTTAATTCAACTGATTCAACTAGTGTTTCATCACCAAATAATAATATTAATCAAATGACTTCTATTGTTGATGCACTCTTTCCTGAACAGGCTTCTTTTTATCAACAACAGCAACAACAACAACAACAACAACGTGATCAACGTCGTTCATCAACAAATGATCTTACAACAGCTTTTGATCGATTTTCATTATGGAATAATAATAGTAATAGTTCGGCTTCAGCTTTTTGTGGTGAAACTTCAAATGGATCATCAACATTTACTAATCGACGTCAATCAACATTACATAGTTCATCACGTTCATTACGAAATACTTATCATCATCATCAAAAACAACATCATTATCGACCACCACCTGTAAGTCGGCCTCGTTTTCCTTCATCATCAATACGTATACCATCGGCTTCAACAATGTAAATATTCATTTGAATATTAACAAATTCTTTATTAAATATTTTCAGAACTGCTCCATGTAATAACTATACTAGTGGACTTCAACGTTCATCATCATCACTTTCAACAAATAATACTAGTGCTACAATGGATTATCAACCTCGCTTTGCTAGTCGTTTATCAACAACTCGTTTATCATCAACTGCACCAGTAGGTTCTCATGATCAAATAGCAGGTAATAATAATACAATAGATTCAATAGCTCCATCATCATCTATTGATGTTATGGATCAAACATGTTCGGCTTCTGCTGTACTCTCTCGCAATACATCAACAACAAATGTTCAACCACAACAACTTGTAACAATGACACAAACAACAACAACAACTTTTTGTTATGTACCTGCATCGGGTTCACTTGTTTATAATAATTTAGCTGGAACAGGTCGAAGTACAACTGTTTCTCATCATTAAATACAAACGAAAACTAGCAAAAAAAGAAATACAATTCAAATGTACTGTTTGGTAATTATTTAAAACATGTCGTTGTTGTGTAAGACACATGTTTATGTTTATGTAGCTTATTTATGGTTTACTTGTGTGCGTATGCAGTTCTTCTTTTTCTTTTTTTTCTTTCTGTTGGACCTTGGATTAAATATCTGTTGTGTTTGTCGAAGAATTTCATGCACAGAAATATATTTATTTATTTATTTATTTTCTTCTTTTGTATTAACTGTTATTTCTTCTTATTATTGATGTCAAAATAAAACAGTTAAATTTATAACAAAAAAAACAAGAAGTATAATCTTTGTTTTTTGTTATTCAAAAGATTTTACTCACTAGAAGAAACTGAACCGGACCGATTGATTCAATTACTGAATTCAACCGGAGTGAAAAACTGATCTGTTTAACTCTTTGAGTACTAATGCTCGATCATGATAACTACGGATTTCTAAATTTATACGATCATTATTATTGCTGAATGCTGATCATCATCCAACAAGTTTAGGCTTCGATTGCTGAATGATTTGTGAGATATAAGCATTTCATTCCTTTTGCCATAAAATGCTAATTATTAGTGACCTAAGAGAGATGAAAACTTTTCCTTTTTATCAAAATTTAATCTTTACTCGCTTCTATCAACAATACGAATTTGAAATCTTAGATGATAATAATTACTGAAATACAGCTACAGTCAAACCAAAAAGTCTTGGGACACTTAAGACGATCTCCATCTCCTCTCAAAACGATTTTGGTCTATGCATATGCAAATTGCATGAAATTTTCAGAATATGTTGGGGCTGTAGTGAAGAGGCTATGGTAAAGTTTTCAGCCCGATGCCAAGAGGCGTTGTTGATAATAATAGTCATTGAAGGTACATTTTCTTTAAAAAAAAGGAGTCACGGACAATTAAATAATCAAAACTCCTACCAAGTTCTTTTCGTAGCGCGGAACATGTTTGACCGATCCAGTATATGAAATGCATGGAATCCATTTAGTGTTCTTGGTCGCATTTGAGCATATCGATTGATGGACGATGGAAACCATTCTCATTGATTAATGCACTTATTACAAGATGAGATCCTAAATTACATGTTTGTGTCAGTTTTCGTGCCATAAAAATTCAAGCGGAAGTTTACCTTTTCCTTAATTTGCATGTATTCTCTCTTGATCTTGCTTATCAATCCAGATGGCCCAAGGGGGAAACAATTGACTTTATGACTTAAATGATCTAAGTGATCTAAATGACCTAAATGACATTAAAGTCATAAAAGTCAATTGTTTTCCTCTTGGATTCTGTTTATATTTACTGTGACTATCGAGTTTCTGTTAGGCTACTGGAACAAGTAAATAACTTTCTATGGTCTATCTGTTATCGATGCTCATAAACAAGAAAATACTTAATGCTTGAGATCGAGATTGCAATATAATCTAATCTACTCTTATGTACATAATATTTTTGAAGCTCAAAATATCGTCGTCAAGACAAACGACGAGTATAAAAATAATCAGACATTATTGTTTTTCTGATCTTGACTCGTCTATTCATTCCAAATGCCTGTTATTCTCACAGAAATTTGAATATTCAAAGAAACTTCATGAAAAATTCGTGTATTCTACAGAAACTGAGTGGTGCGAAGATAATCGGTATCAAAGGATCAAAATCCAAGTACTAGACGCTGTTCAGTCTTATATTTTCGTTAGGAAGAACTAATTGAAGCTAAGAAAATCCTGATAAGATTCGTGACCGTAATCTATATACAGAGAGTTATGATTGTTTTACTGAGATTTTGGCACATTCGTAAGTATTTATAAAAATGTTAAATCATCAAAACTGAGGTTTGAAACGTTAATTTAGGGTATTATATCTGATGGACTTGATAATACTCGAAAACTTTGAGTTAGTAACATTGTAATTTTCTCAAGATATTGCGTATTCATGTAAATTCCGTTTATGTGCTAAGCTGTTGATAAATAATTATATTTTGAAGATTTAACATTAAAGCAAAAAAACATTAAAGTTTAGTTAATATTTTCAGGAAGCTACAGGCAGTCAAGAAAATATCCGGGCATCTACATATTTTTTCGTATTGCTTATTTTGTGCAGCGGAAACAAGTGATATTATTCTTCTTCTTTAGCCAATAGATTGTTCTCACTTCATACTAGATTTTCTATAAAAATAAGTAATTTTGATTATCATCTTGAATTACAGGAAGCTTTTCTCACAGGAATACCTGATTTTTCAGTACATCCAGAGCAAGACTCTTCTGTAGAAGTTATTGTTACTTTCAAAATGATGTCAACAGATATGACTAGCTTTTCTTGCTCTAGTGTTGTGCATATGATATAATTTCGATTTTGAAAAAAACGAGCATCTTCGTAGGAAAAATAGAAGAGCCATGCTTTGGACGTACTGAAAAATCAGGCCTGTTTGTGAGAAAAGCTTCCTGTAATTCGAGATAATAATCAAAATTACTTCTTTTTATAGAAAATCTAGTCTGAAGTGAGGACTATCTACTGGCGAAAAAAGAAAAGTAATATCTTGTGTGTTTCTACCTCGAAAATCAAGATACATAAGTATCGAGATACTTTTTTGACTACCTGTATATGAACTACCACACTTGTGTTACATCAAAATTATTGATGTACAATTCACAAACCAACATTTCCAATACGGATACGCACAAAATTCTCCAAAGAAGTCACAAAATTTCACCCACAGAATATGGCCACGAATAGGAGTGAATCTAGGTTTTCAAAGGTAGGTGGAGTGATAAGTAAAAATGACTTTGAAGACCCATTGGATCTAGTACAATCTTGCTTTTCGTTTGTTATTGCTGATAAAAGTTTTTGATAGAAGGAACACTTACTTTATTGTTCTCCTGTCTAAATGCGCAATTGCCACGAATTAGACTAGGGTTTTCTTAGTTCCACTCATGGTCAGAACATGAAGTTGAATAGCATCCTAAAATTGGGTGTTTCTCTTTTAGTCTTATCTTTTAATATTTTCCGTTTGAAGATATTTGTCGTTATTCTCATTTCTAGTTTTTCTATGTGTTTATGATTACTAGATGCTCTAGTAGTATTTATTCATCTACTTTTTGATAGAAAGTTGCATATTTGTTTAATTGTCAATTGTACTTTTATTATTGTTCACATCAATATCATGTGGATGCCAAACGTAACTGTTGAAGATCACTTTGTTTTTCAATCAAGAACGATATATTGCAAGAGACAGCGATAA